TCGGTTCAGCCGTTCTTGAGTTATAAGTGGAGTAACTAACACGACTTTCTTTTATATATATAGATGTGTTAATTTAACGAACGAGTTCTTTGTGGATGCTCCGGAAGTATGGCGAGATATTGTCCACAAAATCACTCACACTCAGTGTTCGCAGTTTGTACAGTTATTTCGTAAAAAACGTCAAAATTTTACAACAATAATTTTACAGAAATTCTCTAGATTTGTCTCCCATAGAGCATGCTTGAAATGCCGTGGGTTGTTGTTTCCCGTCTTTCCAGCCTCAGGTCACAAATCTTAAAGGTCATAACATGTGCTTCGGACATACACTTTCGATCATTTTTTGGAAAGAAATTCATTAAAAATACGAGAATGTATTCGTGTTGAAAAAAAACTCAAATAAACTATTTTCTTGTATTTTGAAAGGGGAACATTTCGTATGCAATAATTTAATGCATCATTTGATGATCAACTGAACACTATTTGGTACATATACGATCAATAATTCACGGTATAAGTTTTCATTTCCGCTAGTGGTAGTTGACATTTTCAGAGAAATCGAGATGCTTGGCATCTGTGAGGGAGAAATTTATTTATTTAAGGTGGTGATTAACAACGCGAAGTAATGATAGGTATTAGCTCTCTCTGAATTCCAAAAATATTCCATAGTGGCCAAGTTCGTTCGTTTCTTATGGAATGTACAACTCGTTTCGAGTAAACAGTGATAACACATCGCATTTTCAAACACGAAATGTCGGATAATATACGTCCAAATTCCCGAATTGGCATCCAGTAATATTGATGGCAGAAACGCCCTTCCTCGGAGGGTTTCCTAATTCACAGCGGGCGCGACGGTTGGTGAGGACGAGGGATGAGGGAGAGTCGGAGCTGGTCAATTTTGGGGGCAGGGCAATGCTAAAACGTAAGCCCCAGGAAAAATTTTAAAAAATTAAAATTGTTTCGCGAAACTATGAGTTATTTTATTTCAACAAATAACAACAATTACGTTTAAGTTAGAAAAAGCTTTGGTAAGTATATTCTAAATAATAGTTTTATGTAAAAGTACTTAGTGATCAAATAATACAATTTCAACAGAGGTCTTTAAATGCTAAAAAATTGTGTTTAGTAAGTGTTTAATAAAATCACTTAATAAGCACATGAAATAATACGAATTTCAGAGAAACTTACTTTAATGATCGCGTCATTTGATTCATTTCATTGAGCCCTACTTTATAATTAATACCTATAATTCAATATTTAAGATAAAATATTAATTACAAATTTTATGAAATATTATATTACTGTACCTCGACTTATAAAATTACGTTAACGATTTTCTCGAGTTCTTATTCCAATTTTTTAATTCTTTACTATTTTCCCCATCAGTCTCGTGATTGGGCCTCGGTCTGCCTATGCCTAGCGCCGGCACTGAGAACAGGTCCGGGGAACCGAACCTCGTAGGCCCTCACCTGGGAGCCTTTCACTTCATTTCGCCACTGCACTTCTGAGAAGCGCCCTGTTGCTGTGGCGGCAGCGTTCGCCCACGCCCTGCGAAAGGAGACCGCTGCAGACGCATCACACCACACGCGTTCACTTTGTTTTGCTTGTTCTCGCTTCTCTTCATCTGGCGCGTTCTTCACGTTCATGATTTTGGAGCTCCGATTGTTAACAAAAAGTTCGCTCTAAGAAATTGGAAATTAACTCTCGATATGCCACAAGTATCGATAAACGAATATTGCTGTATAAATGAATCATTCAACTCACTCTAACCTACGAATGTTCATTATGGAGTAGTGTAGCACCCAGTAAACTCCTAAAGTTGGTGGCATTCCAAAATTAGTTCCTAAGAAAGACCTTGGTTTATTCCAAATTCCCAAATTCATCGCGAGCTAAATATATTGCTATTAAACGAACACACAAGCAAAATAGCTGACAATTTCTATCAAAATCTTTACTCTTCCCCCTCCTCCACAATATTTAATCTGGGCCGCCGTGCTTCATGGCCTTGTATTAAATCTCAGTTCCCCAAGGATATACTGAGACCATCGTAACTCGTTTTCTTTTACACCTTTCCTAGCACTACCTTAACTTCAACGTTACACATCAGACCAAACCTTGAAGCCTGAACAAATCTTCGAATCTTAGACCATGTTCACGAGTAGAAAATAATATTCTTTTTTATGGATGACCATATCCAAAACATTATAATATAAAATGTACTGTTTTCAACCCCCTCGAGAGACAGATATGTCCAACGAGAAGAAATAAATTAGAGAAAAAGAAAAGAAATTGTTGTTCGTTACCCGAACATTTCAACGATTTCTTGTTCTGTAGTCAGAAAAAGAACACGGAACAAGAAGTACAATTTCTAAACTTTGTAGAGCTATATTTTATGTGCACGTTCTGAAACGATGTTTTAGGTAGAATTAATCTCTTCCGAAATATCATGACGAGAGAAAATAGCAACAGTCACAAGATTCATTAGTGCTTCACAAACGAGCAGTATCACGAATGGTGAACAAGCAAGGCTATTTATGTATGTATTACTACGAAATAACCAGACAAAAATGACGTGGCGAAATCAAACTCGCGTATTAATAATTCATTATAATGAATAGTATAGTACATTTCAATTTCTTTAACACTAAATGTAAGAGTTTTTGACAATTGAAACATTCCATTATTTTTACTAACAGGTTCTAACCGCTCTCCTCTAGGGATCTACGATTCGATTTTAGGGGGATCTTGAAGGTGCCACAACGTGAATTATTGGGCTATTTGCGATTGTTGACAAGTCTTATGAAAGAATCGAATTTAGTCCCTCTAGTATTTGTTATAGTCGTTTAGACACACTGCGTTCTCGGAAATCAAGAGCGTGCGTATCGAAGGTTAGGTCCACTGCGTTCCCAGCAGTCCGCACATAAGGGCATCTTTCAATTCTCTGCCACCGGAGAATAATCTTTCTATCTTCTATAACTTATAGTTCCTCGTCTTCATCCACCCTCATTTCCTTTTCATTTTCTTAGCAGGCGGCAGTTATGAAAAGAGACTAATTCCTCGGGGGCAAATTAAATTATGTTATCAGCATTTAATCATGATACACTTGTATTTCATCAGGATTTACCCTCCAAGATCGAAAAAGAAATTGCGCTTACGTTAGAAATAAAATATCACTAGCATCCGTGATAAAATCGAAAGATAACAGTACATTAGTTGGAACATCTTAACAGGAGAATTGCCCCCATTCCTAA